CAACAACACACTCATCACAACTTGTAAGCCAGCTAGTTACAGTGCCTCCTAAATATATTATTGAAATCAGGAACGGAGGGTAGGCTATCAGCTGGTCATTGATATTGATGTAAATCTGCTCGTTAGCTAGCGTGATATTTTTTTTCACTGATTGTGGTTTATCTTCAATACTCTTAAATAATAACTTCATACTATAGCCTAATATTCATAATCGTTTAACTCATGATATATGGCTGGCCTGGCTGGCTAGTGGCTTGTATGGATATTTTAGTATATGGTGGTTAGCTAGAGTCTAGAACGTGAGCACGAGATGGGGGGGTAACCTGGGGAGCTCTGAGGTACCGGAACGCATGAGATTTATTTTTGAAACCTTTATATTAAAGCGCTGCATGCATATTATGGCATTTGCTAGTGGCATAGAGCAGTAGAGTAGAGGCACTTACAGAAGTTGCACACACGGGGAACGTTTTTAGTGGCCTAGGGCCTGGAAAAAAATGGGCCTTTTATAAACGCATTTCATGCAATTCTACGTCATTTTACATGACTTTAAAACAAGTTCACTCAATAGGCCTATTTGGAAGTTTAGAGATTAGAGTCTTCTCTTTTCAGCAGGAGCCATTTGCTTTTCAATCTTCCAGTGATTGTATTTGAAATATTACGAACTTGATGACATCACAACAACTCGGGGGCAGTTGGTTCAGAACAAAAACGACAAAAACGGTATAAAAATAGTAAAAATTATACTACCACCCAAAAGGGCACTTGGCGAGTGGGATGGCAGGTGCTTGGCTTGACCCCATCTGTGCACGTGCCTGTGTGTGTGTGTGTGTGTGTGTGTTTATTCATGAATAGTGTCCAAAGACATAGCTGCCAGTGTGTGTGATAAGTGTATGTTGAGGATGTGGGTGTACTTATCCTACGTGTGTGTACTTATCCTATGTCTGTGTGTATTTATCCTATGTCTGTGTGTACTTATCCTACGTCTGTGTGTACTTATCCTACGTCTGTGTGTACTTATCCTACGTGTGTGTGTACTTATCCTATGTCTGTGTGTACTTATCCTACGTCTGTGTGTACTTATCCTACGTCTGTGTGTACTTATCCTATGTCTGTGTGTACTTATCCTACGTCTATGTGTACTTATCCTATGTCTGTGTGTACTTATCCTATGTCTGTGTGTACTTATCCTATGTCTGTGTGTACTTATCCTATGTCTGTGTGTACTTATCCTACGTCTGTGTGTACTTATCCTACGTCTGTGTGTACTTATCCTATGTCTGTGTGTACTTATCCTACGTCTGTGTGCACTTATCCTACGTGTGTGTGTGTACTTATCCTACATCTGTGTGCACTTATCCTATGTCTGTGTGTACTTATCCTACGTCTGTGTGTACTTATCCTACGTGTGTGTGTGTACTTATCCTACGTGTGCGTGTACTTATCCTACGTGTGCGTGTACTTATCCTACGTTTGAATGTACTTATCCTACGTTTGAGTGTACTTATCCTACGTTTGAGTGTACTTATCCTACGTGTGCGTGTACTTATCCTACGTGTGCATGTACTTATCCTACGTGTGCATGTACTTATCCTACGTGTGCGTGTACTTATCCTACGTGTGCGTGTACTTATCCTACGTGTGCATGTACTTATCCTACGTGTGTGTGTTCTCAGGCCAGTCTGTGAAGCAGCTACAGCAGTACTACAGTGACTTCCTGCCAGACTACTTCTCCCTGACCGAGCATCCTCCAGAAGAGTTCTGTCTCTCTCCGGACGCCTCCTCTTCCTCATCGTCCTCCTCTTCCTCACAATCCCACATCTCTGTGGACCTGAAGCAGAAGAGAGGTGAGACAGCAACTAGGAGTGGTTTAGTATGTTTCTATGTGCACTACATGGTCAAATGTAAGTGGACACCTGCTCGTCGAATGTCTCATTCCAAAATCATGGGCATTAATATGGAGTTGGTCCCCCCTATGCTGCTATAACAGCCTCCACTCTTCTGAGAAGTCTTTCCACTAGATGTTGGAACATTGCTGCGGGGACTTGCTTCCATTCAGCCACAAGAGCATTAGTGAGTTCGGGCACTGATGTTGGGGTTCGATGGGGTTGAGGTGTTCGATGGGGTTGAGGTCAGGGCTCTGTGCAGGCCAGTCAAGTTCTTCCACACCGATCTCGACTAACCATTTCTGTATGGACCTCGCTTTGTGCACGGGGGCATTGTCATGCTGAAACAGGAAATGGCCTTCCCCAAACTCTCTCTCTTTCTCTCTCTCTCTCTCTCCCTCGCTATCTCTCCCTCTCTCTCTCTCTCTCTCCCTCTCTCTCTCTCTCTCCCCCCCCCCTCTCTCTCTCTCTCTGAGTGTGTGGGTGTCTCTAGGTCTTTGATGTCGGTACTGAAGGGTCCTTCAATCGAGACCCATATGAACTCCCTTTAGTGACTGACTCAGAAGCTTCTGTAGCTATTAGAAATAGCATGTGTCTGTAATGGAGAAAAATAATGTTGACTCCAACCCATCTTAAAAGCCCTACTGTTAAATATGCTGTAAACAACGAATACAGTAGCATGCTGTGTGCATGGTATTAAACCTTGTTTGTAAACTGAAGTAGATAGTTAATGAAGAAATGTCCCTCTACTTTCAAACCTTGCGAATTCAAGTTTTCTGCTTGAGGTTGGCCATTGGGGACTAGCTGATTATCACTGTGGAAAGGAGAAAGAGGGTGATAACCATCAGATAAAAGCAGGTGACTGCAGCCTGTATCAGCCCATACTTACTGCTGAGAGGCTGTTTGACATGTGAAGTGCCTCGTAATCGACTACCTCTTTACATTCCTCCCCCTTCCTCTCTCTCTCTCTCTCTCTCTCTCTCTCTCTCTCTCTCTCTCTCTCTCTATCTCTCTATCTCTCTCTCTCTCTCTCTCTCTCTCTCTCTCTCTCTCTCTCTCTCTCTCTCTCTCTCTCTCAGGTTTAGTCAAAGCCATTAATACAGCGGTAGATTTAATCGTGGCTCATTTTGGCACCAGTCGGGACCCTGATGTGAAGGTATGCTACTGTGTGATTTACCCCTAGCGATACTATATAATACTGTTCTATGTCATTCTGTGGATTTACCTCTCCTTTTGGTTTCTATAGTAGACTGTTGTTGATTTTTTACAACGTAAGAATATCTCTTTTTTTTTTTAAATCTCTTTTCATAAATAAACTGTAATGTCAATGTATTTTTTCTCCCCCTATCTCCTCTCTCTTGGTCACTGTCCATCTCCTCTCTCTTGGTCACTGTCCATATCCTCTCTCTTGGTCACTGTCCATCTCCTCTCTCTTGGTCACTGTCCATCTCCTCTCTCTTGGTCACTGTCTATCTCCTCTCTCTTGGTCACTGTCCATCTCCTCTCTCTTGGTCACTGTCCATCTCCTCTCTCTTGGTCACTGTCCATCTCCTCTCTCTTGGTCACTGTCTATCTCCTCTCTCTTGGTCACTGTCCATCTCCTCTCTCTTGGTCACTGTCTATCTCCTCTCTCTTGGTCACTGTCTATCTCCTCTCTCTTGGTCACTGTATATCTCTTATTTTCTTGTTCTCTTGCTACCGCTCTCTTCTCTGCTCTTCTCCTCCTCTACCTTTTTTCCACTTTCTTCTCCACCCACCCCTCCCCCGCTCTCTCTCCCTTAAAGGCGAAGCTGGGTAACAGTTGGGTGAGTCCCAACGTGGGCCACCTGATCCTGAAGTACCTGTGTCCGGCTTTAAGGGAGGTGCTGGGGGATGGGCTGAAGGCCTACGTCCTGGACCTGATCATCGGACAGAGACGCAACCAGCCGTGGAGCCTGGTGGAGGCCTCCACACAACTAGGTAATGGTGATGATGATTAGGCCATAAGCCCTGGAGCCTGGTGGAGAGAGAGAGAGGGTCGAAACAGCAGGTCGGGACGAGGTAGCACAACCGGTTAACAGGTCAGGGTTCCATAGCCACCGGCAGAACAGCAGAAACTGGATAAGCAGAACAACCAGGTGGTCAGGCCAGGTAGTCCTGAGGCATGGTCCTAGGGCTCAGGTCCTCCGGGAGGGGAGAGAGAGAGATGGGAGAATTAGAGGGAGCATACCTAAGATAAGACAGGATAATTACACCAGATATGACAGACTGACCCTAGCCCCCCGGCACATAGACTATTGCAGCATGGATACTGGAGTCTGAGACAAGGGGGGATCGGGCGTCACTGTGTCCCTGTCCAAAGTTACCCCCGGACAGGGCCAACCAGGCAGGATATAACCACACCCAATTTGCCAAAGCACAGCTCCCACACCACCAAAGGGTTATCAACAAACCACTAACTTACTACACTAAGACAAGGGTATAGCCCACAAAGATCTCCCCCACCTGCACGAGCCCGAGGACAGGAAGGATGGGAGAGCGTGAGCAAGCCAGTGACTCAGGTCCCTTGATAGGGTCAGAGGCAGAGAATCCCAGTGGAGAGAGGGGTGCCGGCCAGGCAGAGACAGCAAGGGTGGTTTGTCACGCCAGTACCTTGCCATTCACCTTCGCACCCCTGGGCCAGACTACGCTCAATCATAGGACCTACTTTAGAGATGAGTCTTTAGTAAAGACTTAAAGGTTGAGACTTGAGTCTGCTTCTTTCACATGGATCGGCAGACCATTCTATTAAAATGGAGCTCTATAGGAGAAAGCCCTGCCTCCAGCGGTTTGCTTAGAAATTCTAGGGACAATAAGGAGGCCTGCATCTTGTGACCGTAGCGTACGTGTAGGTATGTACGGCAGGACCAAATCGGAGAGATGCTTTGTAGGTTAGCAGTAAAACCTTGAAATCAGCCCTAGCCTTAACAGGAAACCAGCGTAGAGAAAAATGTGAATTTGATCTGCCATGACGACGAGGTCCGATAGGAATTCAGGGAACTCAGTGAGGAACGCTGTATACGGCCCAGGAGGCCTGTAAACACTAGGTATGTCCGGAGGGACGAGGGATTTGTTTAGAAAATGAGGAAAAGTAGATGATGATATGGAAGATTCAGAGGAGAATCAGGTTCATTTAGAGGATGGCCCTTAAGTGGATCATTATGATAATATTATGTTGACAATGGTCATAACAACATAATTATTGTGATCAATGCTGCAAAGGAAATGTAGGACTATAATACAAGCAACTAACATAATCAGGGGTGTAGTGGTGCCTGGAGAAGTGGGTGTGCTCTAATTTTAGCCAAAGTTTTTCCAAACGGCCCAGTGAAGGAAAGGTGCCCTGTGTGAAAACTTCTAGGAGAAACAGTGACATGATATCATGATATCATTCTGACAGGTAGGCATGCGTTCTCCTGTTCTATTGGTTTTCTTTCAACATTCTTTCATTGTCTAGCAGCCAAATGAATTATCTTAATCATTATTAGCAATCCATGATAGTTATGGCATCTTTAATCCCTCCTCTTTCTAACGGATATTTATTTCCATCTCTGTCCATGAAACCGCTCGGGATGTGCGCAGCGCATTTTAGAAAGGCGTTTTCCCAAATTGCATTTTGGAACGTTCACGCATAGGCCTACTGCCATTTGGACATGGCTGCGCCTAAAATGTGAAGAAATAATAATTTATCAACATTCTAAGCTAAACATTCCGATCTATTCCATCAGCCCTATTCATTGATATGGCGTACACCTCCTCTACACTACTTTGATATACGTATCAGTGGGGATTAAGAAGTGAGTATAGACAATGCCCACTGAAGAAGAAGTGGGTATGCTGCGTATACCTGCGTATACCCTCCACTACACCTGTAAGGGTTGGGGTGAGGTGTGACCCAGGTGCGGTGCAGGATATACAGTAGGAAGTAGGCAGAGACGGTGAAAACAAGGATCTTTACTGGTGGTCCCGAAGCCAGAATACATAATAATGGACTTATCACGATAAAAGAAAGGCGGAGCAAATAAGTCTCCAAAAACCGTCTGACAGCCAAAATACGAAATACTACCTAAGACTGAAACAAATAACGAAACAGGGAGAACACTTCTCAAGTACCTGTACATAGGTCTCCGATGAGACACTGAGTAGTACTGCTGGACATAGAGAAACTAGCAGAGAAAACTGAGCAATGGAACACAGGGAAGCGAGGGCATAAATACACAGGTGAACAGGTAGACACAGGTGACACCAATAGGATACTGATTAGTCCAGAATGTGAGTGAGGAGGTGCCTAAGGTTGTCGGAGAATGACACCTAGTGGGTCGCTCCGGAACTGCGACCCCCCCTCCTGTAACATACACCACTGAAAATAATATTACATTGTCAAGGTAACATTATAATAAATCATAATCCTGACCTCCCTCCATCCCTCCCTCAGGCCCGTCCACCCGTGTTCTCCACAGCCTGTTCTGCAAGGTGTCCCAGTACTCAGAGTTCACCAGCCACAGCATGAGACTCAACGCATTCGTCTTCGGACTGCTCAAGTGAGTACACTACCTCTATGTTACCTACTTCTAGGAGTCATCACTAGTAGTCCTGCACTCTGTACCACCTCCACCTCCTGTACACGACTGTATCTCCCCCTAAAACCTTTTAACAATAGCCTTCTAAACAACTGGCCAGGCAAGGCTCTGACTCAGGATTGGTTTCCAAAGCAATAATAAAGTAATACAGCATAGCTGACTCCTTTCTTGTCCATCTCTTTTGTGTTTTTTTTTCCCTTTCAGCTTGCGATCTTTGGAGTTTTGGTTCAATCACCTCTACACTCATGAAGGTATGCACATCTTTAAGTGTTAAGGGTCAGACGCACTGAGAAATCTGACTGCCGATAGGTACAACGTTGCACTTCACTAGCAGGCCTGACCAAGTGATGATTTGATACAATGTTGCACTTCACTAGCAGGCCTGACCAAGTGATGATTTGATACAATGTTGCACTTCACTAGCAGGCCTGACCAAGTGATGATTTGATACAATGTTGCACTTCACTAGCAGGCCTGACCAAGTGATGATTTTATTTATTTCACCTTTATTTAACCAGGTAAGCCAGTTGATAACAAGTTCTCATTTCCAACTGCGACCTGGCCAAGATAAAGCAAAGCAGTGCGGTAAAAACAACAACAACACAGAGTTACATATGGAATAAACTAAACGTACAGTCAATAACACAATAGAAAATCTATATACAGTGTGTGCAAATGTAGTAAGTTATGGAGGTAAGGCAATAAATAGGCCATAGTGCAAAATAATTACAATTTAGTATTAACACTGGAGTGATAGATGTGCAGAAGATCATGTGCAAATAGAGATACTGGCCTACTACCTACCAGCCAGCTCTAGCCTGGACTATTGCCGGCCAGTCTGCACCGTCTGCACAGCGCGTTATCGACCCAGAACATATCGGTTTTTCTGCCGGAATCACTGAATCACTGGACCTTTAACACCGGATCATCGCAACTAGCTAGCTGCAACCAAATGGATGTTGTTGTTGGCTAATCAGCCTTGAGCTAGCCTCGAGCCAGGCCCATCTCCCGGCTATCTACCTCTCTGTCAACCAGACGGGACCTCCTAGTGTTGACACGGCGCCCCACCGATCCAACACGACTGGTCTGCCGACGAAATCGTCTGATGTGGTTTTAACAGGCTTCCCGTTACGACGTCCACCACGAAGATCCATCTGCTAGCCCAGGCCCGCTAGCACACGCAAGCCGTGGCCTCTTGCTCGCCAGTGCTATAGCAGCCCCCGAACTAGCTGCGAACTATCCTATTGCTGTTCACCGGACCTTATGATAACTCAGCTATACAGCTGATGTCTGCTGGACGGTTCCTTTATACGGTACCGCATCCTGTTTATGTTTAGCCTCAGCCCAAACTGTGTCGCCATTACCAGCTTTTGTCTTAGCTCTCTCGAATAACACCTGTGATTGCTTTATGCCTCTCTCCCATGTCAATATGCCTTGCTTATTGCTGTTTCGGTTATTTCTTATTGTACTATTTCACTGTAGATCCCCCAGCCCAGCTCAACCTGCCTTAGATAGCTCCTTTGTCCCACCCCCCATACACGCGGAGACCGACTCAATCGGTGCCTCTAGTGATGCTATCTCTTTCATCGTTACCCAACGCTTAGGTTTACCTCCACTGTACTCATATCCTTCCATATCCTTGTCTGTACATAATGCCCTGAATCTATTCTACAACGCCCGGAAATCTGCCCCTTTTTTTCTCTGTACCCAATGCACTAGAAGACCAGTACTTAAAGCCTTTAGCCGTATCCTTATTCTACTCCTCCTCTGTTCCTCTGGTGATGTAGAGGTTAACCCAGGCCCTGTACCCCCCAGTATCACTCCTACTCCCCAGGCGTTATCATTTGTTGACTTCTGTAACCGTAAAAGCCTTGGTTTCTTGCACGTTAACATCCGAAGCCTCCTCCCTAAGACCGCGGCAGCTTTCCAATCTCTGGGGATCTCAGACGATACGAAAGAGAGTTTGAACAGGCTAGTAATAGGGGTTGCGACAATTTCGGCGGCTAATTTTAGAAAGAAAGGGTCCAGATTTTCTAGCCCAGCTGATTTGTAGGGGTCCAGATTTTGCAGCTCTTTCAGGACATCAGCGATCTGAATTTGGGTGAAGGAGAAGCGGGGGGGGGGCATGGGCAAGTTGCAGCGGAGGGTGCAGAGCTGGTGGCCGGGGTAGGGGTAGCCAGGTGGAAAGCATGGCCAGCCGTAGCAAAATGCTTATTGAAATTCTAGAGTATCGTAGATTTATCGGTAGTGACAGTGTTTCCTAGCCTCAGTGCAGTGGGCAGCTGAAAGGAAGTGCTTTTATTCTCCATGGACTTTACAGTGTCCCAAAACTTTTTGGAGTTAGTGCAACAGGATGCACATTTCTGTTTGAAAAAGCTAGCCTTTGCTTTCCTAACTGATTGTGTATATTGGATCCTGAATTCCCTGAAAAGTTGCATATCGCGGGGGCTGTTTGATGCTAATGCAGTACGCCACAGGATGTTTTTGTGCTGGTCAAGGGCAGTCAAGTCTAGGGTGAACCAGGGGCTATATCTGTTCTTAGTTCAGAATTTTTTTGAATGGGGCATGCTTATTTAAGATGGAGAGGAAAGCACTTTTGAAGAACATCCAGGCATCCTCTACTGACGGAATGAGGTCAATATCCATCCAGGATACCCTGGCCAGGTCAATTAGAAAGGCCTGCTCGCTGAAGTGTTTTAGGGAGCGTTTGACAGTGATGAGGGGTGGTCGTTTGACCGCAGACCCATTACGGACGCAGGCAATGAGGCAGTGATCGCTGAGATCCTGGTTGAAGACAGCGGAGGTATATTTAGAGGGTAAATTAGTCAGGATGATATCTATGAGGGTGCCCATGTTTACAGATTTAGGGTTGACCTGGTAGGTTCCTTGATAATTTGTGTGAGATTGAGGGCATCTAGTTTAGATTGTAGGACAGCCGGGGTGTTAAGCATATCCCAGTTTAGGTCACCAAGCAGTACGAACTCTGAGGATAGATGGGAGGCAAGCAATTCACATATGGTGTCCAGGGCACAACTGGGGGCTGTGGGGGGTCTGTAGCAAGCGGCAACAGTGAGAGACTTATTTCTGGAAAGGTGGATTTTTAGAAGTAGAAGCTCAAACTGTTTGGGCACAGACCTGAATAGTATGATAGAGCTCTGCAGTCTATCTCTACAGTAGATTGCAACTCCACCCCCTTTGGCAGTTCTATCTAGACGGAAAATGTTATAGTTCGGGATGGACATTTCTGAATTTTTGGTGGCCTTCCTAAGCCAGGATTCAGACACTGCTAGAACATCAGGGTTGGCAGAGTGTGCTAACGCAGTGAATAACTCAAACTTAGGGAGGAGGCTTCTGATGTTAACATGCAAGAAACCAAGGCTTTTACGGTTACATAAGTCAACAAATGATAGCTCCTGGGGAGTAGGAGTGATACTGGGGGCTACAGGGCCTGGGTTAACCTCTACATCACCAGAGGAACAGAGGAGGAATAGAATAAGGAGACGGCTAAAGGCTTTAAGAACTGGTCTTCTAGTGCGTTGGGTACAGAGAGTAAAGGGGGCAGATTTCCGGGCGTTATAGAATAGATTCAGGGCATTATGTACAGACAAGGATATGGAAGGATATGAGTACAGTGGAGGTACACCTAAGCATTGGGTAATGATGAAAGAGATAGCATCACTGGAGGTACCGATTGAGACTGCTATGCCATCTTAATAATAATAATATGCCATTTAGCAGACGCTTTTATCCAAAGCGACTTACAGTCATGTGCGCATACATTTTTTTTGTGTATGGGTGGTCCCGGGGATCGAACCCACTACCTTGGCGTTACGAGCGCCGTGCTCTACCAGCTGAGCTACAGAGGACCACAGATCCAATATGGTTTTGATACAATGTTGCACTTCACTAGCAATAGCTCAAGTCAAGACAGATCGAAAGAGAGGCAGACAGGCGGAGTAGAGAGATGAATGTGATTGAAATAATCTGAATTTTTATCAGCATATTTTCTACTGTTTTTATTTGTCGGCTTTAGGCCTATGTATTTTACTTAGTTGACGATGGAAGTTATAGTCCTACTGCTGCATTGGCCTATAGGCTCTCTCTGAGTTCTACGCTCTCATTTCTTTAGCCACCAGTGGATCACAGTGTATCAATGTTTCCATATGGCAGAGGCTGGTGCTCTCGGCATAGTTGAATTTTAACTTTTAGATTTGTATCATTTTACTTCGGATTTGTATTATTAACCACGTGACAATGATTTTGAGAAACAAAAACGTTATTATTGTAATGAAACTGTTCCAAGAAAATGCGCATATAAAAATAATCATAACTGGCACGCAGATCGGTAGAAATGGTAGGTTAAATTGTAAGCTTCCCCAATCTTGACTATTCTTTACAATTAAAGCCATTAAAACGTTTGTGAACATGCAAGTGCGTGCACACATAGGAGGTCCTGTGAAAAAACACGCCCCCCCCCCTATGGCGTTCTGGCGCCGGGTCTACATCATGCATTCAATAGAACAAAATGAAAATGCCAACAGGTGTACAAATCAAGGTCCCTGTTTTTAAAACGTCATCCTCCTCTCCTTCATGTTGGCAAACCTCCCAACCATTTTGTCGATAGCACGCTGTGCAGACTGGCCGATAATTGTCCAGGCTAGAGCTGGCTGGTAGGTAGTGCAGGCCACGGACAGTGGTGAAGACCGCTAACGGTGGCTAATAGCAATAGCTAATAGCAAGTAGCTAGTTATCTGGCTAGCTGGCTAGTTTCAGCCGTGGGTTCTTGATAAAAGGTATGAAGAAATAATAGAATCCCTCCCAACCATTTTGTCTTTGTCGATGTCCAGCTCAGTACAAAGCAAAGTGAGGTCGGATAGTCTGGCCTCATTCATGCACGCAAATAGCTCTTGATGAGCTTCAGGCGGCTGAAATTTAGCTCGGCACTGGTACTGCTGATGGGAATGGTTTTGTAGATTCTATGGAGAATGGTCAGATTTGAATATGCTCGGTGCATGTCATTGGCAACGAGGAATGGTAGGACTGCGTCAGTGTTGAGATCCCATGGCTATCTCGGAATACATTGTGCGGAAAAGAGAGGAACTCGCCCACAACTTCCCTCAGGCTTGGAAATATTATCAGAGTAGAAAACGTGCGAGCTCAAGCATATTATTTTCCTGCATCAGGGGTGCTCAAAGCACTTTGGGTTGAGCACAGAGAATAGTTGTGCCATTTCTCTGAAGTCAGCATATCAATTATCAAACTGCCCCACAAAAACATCAAGTATGTAATAGTATACATCAGCTTTAAAGCGCCTTCTGCTTTCCAGAATTGGGTCGTCCTCTGTGTCCTCGTCATGAAACCTCTTCCTCTTGCCCGCTCTCTACTCTGCAAACTCAGTTGTTGCGTTGTTTTTGTCGGGCCAATCTCTTTCGCAGTGTTCTCCATCTTGTCATGGGCCTCATCTGTGCGCATCTGTCTGATCTCAACCATGCAGGCGTCAATGAGATCCACGCAGCGTTTACGTCAAATCCTTTCGCAGATCGTTAGAAAGGATGTACGTCTTCTTTAGTAAACTGTTCCAAAAACCACCAACATACATTTTGACAGCAGGCCATTGGCTTCAGAGGCAGACTTTGGTGTAGTGTGGTTCTGGTGCTTTATTCAGTGCAGGGCTTCAGGGATCTAGGTCAGGCTCTGTATAACCGCTTCTGTGGCCTGGTTCCTGGAGGCCCACCTTGTGTCCAATAGGCTCTTTAGGGTGAGAACGGCTCTCTCCAGCTGCATGTTTTCCTGTTCCAACTGAAGTATTTTAAACCTTGGGAGGCTAGAAGCAGTATGTCTACAGGGTCTCCAATGTGCCACAAAAAACTAGGTGGAACACAGGATGCAATTAACTTTTCTTATTCTGTCGCTCCTCACGTTTTAGCTCACCTGACTTATATACTTTCTATCAATTTTGCGCCTGAATGTAACTGAATGTAAATTAGCAACAGACATGGTAGGATACACGTCAATCAAATATGACAGGCCCCCCCACACCAGTAGCCAACCAGCAGCAGCTGTAAGTCCCAGGGGGCCCCTCAAGGGCGTATAGTGACAGACAAAGCTGTACAGTGCTTTATAAAATAAGCAACACCAGCTCAGACCAATTCCAGGATTTAATTAAATCATGTAAAATATCATATTATATATCAATTTCGCCATTGTTTTATAGTGTTAAATAATGTTTCCCTCTGGTTTGTTGGGACATCACCCCCCCCCCCCCCCCCCCCCCCCCCCCCCAGCTCCGCTTCTGTAGCTAGCTAACTAGTGATCTAGTGCACATTATGATACCTAAAAAAAATATTTTTCTTCAAGCACAAAACTCGTTAGCTAGATGTAAAATATGTACAGACTTCTATAATGCAGCTTTATTGTTTTAGTTAGAACAATGATGACAGGGGGGTGGATTACACCGGGAGAAGAGCCCTCTGTTTTCCTGCTGTTGTCACTCCTGTTCGGCTCCCTCACGTGGAGGTTCATGCTCTCCGATTGGATCAAAGGTCAAGTTGTCGACCACTGTCGAGCATTGCTATTCTACAAGTAGAAACGGCAGGTTCGTCGGTACCAGGTCGGTACGCAGCAGGTACGTCTTTTGTTCTAGCGAGAGGTAACGACCTCCCACTGTGATAAGTACCTATCAGCAGTCAGATTCTCGGTGTGTTTCATGCTTAAGGCTTTAATACTTCACCAGCTGTAACTTATTGTCCTCATCATCAGGTGGTTTGTAAGAATGTTATGTTGGAATGCAGCAGTAGAAAGAACAGCCTCCTCCTGAACTAACCTATCGGCCATCAGACTTCTCTGTGTGTCTGACCTCTTAGAGAGAAAACAGACACTATTACAACCAATGTCTGGTGTGCTTCTGCTAATCTCAGGTCATCATTGTAAATACGAATTTGTTCTTATCTGACTAGCCTGTTTCAATAAAGGTTAGATAAAATAAAAGTCTAACCATGGTTTGTTCCCCAACCCACCCCTCTCTGTCCACCTGTCCTCCCCAGACATCGTAGCGACCCATTACCACCCGTGGGGTTTCCTGCCGTTGTCCCAGAGGCCCTGCCAGCCTCTATTCGAGGAGTTCCTTCTCCTCCTGCAGCCTCTATCCCTGTTGCCCTTTGACCTTGACCTGCTCTTTGAGCCCCGATTGGTCCAGAAGGGCCAGGAACACCTTAGACGCAAGGAGCAGCTCTGCTCCTCCTCCACCGGTGAGGACCTGGACCAATCAGCACGCTCCACCTTCCAGCTGATGAGGGAGTGGAGCACAGAGTCACGGAGGGCAGCGTCTACGAGAGAAGGGGCGGAGGATAAAAGGGAAGGGGCGGGGCTGAGACGAGAGGGAACATGGTCTAGGATGGAAGGGGTTGGAGAGAGAGGGAGTAGAGAAGGGATGATGCAGAGGACAGGGTCGAGGAGAGAGGGGGCAGGGATGGATCATTTAGGAGCAGGGCTTTTAGAAGCACAGCCAATGTCGACGGAAGTAGGGACAGGGTTTGCCAATCTGTGGAGGGAGAGTGGGAGGGGGAGGGGCATGGTAAAGAGAGCGAAGGGGGTGGGAGGAGAGAGCCAGACGGAAGGGGAAAGGGAGGGAGGGAAGGAGGAGAGGAGGAAGGAGAGAGGGAGGGATTGGGCGGAGGAGGGTCGTCAGCGGCAGGAGCGTGATCGCCAGGCGGGCTGGTGGTACCAGCTCATGCAGAGCTCCCAGGTCTACATCGACCAATCAGCTCAGGGCGGCTCAAAGTTCGTCAAGAGCGAGAAGAGGAAGAAGTCTGCGGAGAGGCGGAGCCAGCTCCCTCCCCCCAGGGAGGGCGTGGTGGAAGGGGCGGAGTCTAGCCAGGAAGAGGAGGGTCTCAGAGAGAGGGGGATAAGCAGGAAGAGCAGCTCCAGCTCCAGTGGTGAGTGGACAGGGTCCAGGGGAAGAGGAAGACTCTCCTGGATGGGGAGTCCCCCAGAGTCGCTGCTCACCCAGGACAAGGAGAACGAGAAGGAACCAGGGCCCTCAGTGTCCCAGCTAGCGGCCCAGGCTCAATGTCCCTCCCAGGGCCAGGGCATGCGTTGGGGAAGGCTGTTTGGGTCCAGTGTAGGTGGTGGTGGCTCCCCCTCCAGGCCAGAGCAGAGATCAGTCAAAAGCCAGAGCAGGTGAGTGAATTGAAGTGAAATGATGTAAATTGGTACAGATGCTACAGTAATAATTTACTCTTTATTTTACAGAGCTTTTCAGCATTTGCTGGGTATTAACTGAGACAATATTTTAGGACAGTTACTTCAAAGAATACAATAAATTATTTGACACACAAGTTAGCAAGGAATTTTCCATATTGATTTGGCTATGCTTTGTTTGTCCCTCGCAGGCTGCCGTCCGGCTGGCTGACAGGTCTGGACATGTCCATGCTGGACCTCGTAGCTCAGACGGTGGGGGCGGGGACAGTTAAAAGGGTGGAGCCTTCAGCTCCTACGGCCCCTCACACTCTGAACCAACCCTCTCCACATCTTCAGACAACACAGGAGAGCCACACCAAACAGCCCTGGTAAGGTCGTACTTAATTTGTTTTTTTATTCAACCAATATTTCACCAAGACTGGTCAAGAGACCAAAAACAATACAGGATACAAATAAAAAATACAGGATCAAGCTACATATACAAAAAAACAATGGCACATATCTTTCTTCCTTCCCCCTCCCCACTCCAGTGAAGTGCGTGCCCTGTGCCACCACATAGCCACAGAGTCTGACCAGCTGAGTTTCCAGAAAGGGGACGTACTGAGGGTCCTGAGCCGGGCCGACTCCGACTGGCTCCTCTGCTCCCTGGGGGCCCAGCGGGGCCTGGTGCCTTTCATCTATGTTACCCTGAGGGGCCTGGAGGACAACTAGGCCCCCCCCAAGGGCCTCAGGGGCCACACTGACCTGACAGACTCAACTAGGGTTCCAAAATTCTGTTTTTCCAGAAATCCCTGTTGGGAGATTCCCGGAATCAAAAGGGAATAAGGAGGAAGTCTGTTTATCCTCCAACCACGATTTCTGGAAAAACCTAGGGATTTTGGGAAAGTTACCAGAACTTTGCAACCCTAGCCTGAACCCAGGGGCCACAGTAAGGATGAGGGTGGAAGGTGAAAGGGAGTGTGGGGAAAAGAAGAAAAGGTAGGGCGGCAGGTAGCTTAGTGGGTAAGAGCGTTGTGCCAGTAACCGAAAGGTCGCTGGTTCTAATCCCCGAGCCAACTAGGTGAAAAATCTGTCGATGTGCCCTTGAGCAAGGCACTTAACCCTAATTGCTTCTGTAAGTCGCTCTGGATAAGAGCGTCTGCTAAATGACTAAAAAAAAAATAAAAAAAATAAAAAAAGAATTAGAGAGCCAAATATGGACATACAGTAGATACTCACTGGATGGATACAAGACGATGGATACTCATGGAGGAGAGACGTTGATCTGACTGATATGACTGGTTTAAAGTGTAATTATTGTACTGTGGGATGAAGTACGAAATACACACACACACACACACACAAAGACACAGATGTAAACATGCATATACATATACAGGCACGAACAAACAGACTTCTCTATGCATGCATCTACACTAAACTCATGCACACGCACACGCACACACACACACAAACCAAACTGTATGGGAAAACCAAACAGAGACACACGGCTAGCTACAGAGACTGCCTCAGCTCAGCCAAATTATACATACCACACCTAGCTGTGCTTTACTTTACCATGCTCCACAACTATACTCTATCATTCACCTAGCTGTGCCACACTTTGAATGCAGATGCTAACGCTAAATGCTAATGCTAGTGCAAATGCTAGTGCTAGTCCTAGTCCTAGTGCTAAATGCAAGTGTTAGTGCTAAAGCTAGAGCTAAATGCTAGTGCTAATGCTAATAGAAGACTTCAGGGGACTGGTTAAAGGACTTTTTAAGGTCATTTAATGGATCCACACTGACATCATGCTACTTGATTTACTTCCTTAGCCCAGAGATCCCCTGCTTTGTAGTAGGACATTAGTATGAAAAGTAGTTGTTACAAAACAGAAGAAAAAAAAAAGACAACATTGTTAGTGTGATCTATCTGTGGGTTCTGACAGCTGTCGTCATCTCTCTGTGTGGAGTAAATACAAATGGACAGACAGACAAACCGGTTTGAACAGGCTTCATCAATTCCTCGTCATCTGCAAATTCCTGATACTCATCATCTTGGTAAGACAATGATTTTGGATGGACTTATAAACCTGACTGATTGGACAAACCCAAGAACATCCTCCCTTCACTTCCTGTTTGTTTTGGTGGATGGCATGAACTGACCGACTGCAGGTGTCGGGAAGGAAAAGAGTGGAGCCGGGGCCTAGTGCATGTAACCTAGTAACAAACTGACAACGTTTTTTGTGTCTTTTCACCTCTTCTTCGCCCCTATTCGAACCCCAAAACCCTAGCTCCTCCCACCTGCTCCGCCCCTCTCTCCTTTATCCAATAAAACTGCACAGCTTTCAGGAGGATACTGCACCTCTGGTACAGACAAAACCAAGTGTTTTCAAGAGCCTGTGGTAAGCTATGAGCTGTATATGTCTATATATCTATCCATACTGTAAATGCAAAAATGCAACTCACACATGTGGTGAGTTCCATTTATTTATTGACTAATGATGATATCATGTATTGTCATTGAGGAAAAGCGTGTAGTGGAGGTGGATAAAGAAGGAAGGATGTCCAATGAAAGCAATACGTGGCTTTGGAGGTCTGTTGAGGTGCTTTGGTGAGCTTTTCTGAATGTGTTGGTGGAGAAGGCTGTACAAACCAACGGAGAGGCGGAGCCAGCCCCACCTCAACCTCCCTATTCTAAAAAAAACGCTCTAAAAGGGGCTTCTTCTAAAACACAATAGAAGTACAATGAATGTTTTAATTTAAAGTAAAAAAATATATATACATCAAATGATTCTGATTGGTTGTATGTAATGAGAAAGAGAGTGTTGTTTATTTGCGTATGCCGTAAAGTGCTTGAGAAAGAACCACGGGAGAGGTGATATGCTGGACGTATTTAGCCATGACCATGCCTATGGTCCCTACATGATGTTTTATATACGCGACGGTGCGTCCAACCAGCCACTTTCCCCGGGTTTCAGTCCTGAGAAGTCTCAGGTTTTCTGGTCGGAAAAATATTTTTGATGGTGGGAGGCATCTTAGAAGAAACCCCAACCCATTTATTGGTGGCTTTGTGGGCATTTGTTGGATTCAGATGTTTCAAATGTTGCCTTAGGTTCAGATTGAGCTGTACAGGTAAACTAGGTACAGATTGAGCTGTACAGCTAAACTAGAGCTGGTAAAAAGGATTAAACCCTATATGATGCCTTGTGGATTAAATCCTAGATTAGGGTTTGGTAGAGCCTAAATAATCCACAATGAAATTCTGTAAAGTAACATAAAAAAATGATTGGTTAGAAAAACATAAAATTGCCAGGACGAATCCACGAGGACAAGAGTTAGGTCTAGATTCAATCAGATCAGTTCATCTAGTTTGTAGATAAGGTTGTATTATTATTCTTAAAAATTGATTTGTTAAAATGTATTTAATTATTTCATTCTTTATTTTGTTGTACAGTTGTATTTTTTTAATATAGTTTTTTCGTTTTTGTATTCTACATAAATGATTTAAATATTTTGTTAGATCTAAATTAAATATATTTCACTTATTCAATAATTAATTTAGAAAGATAGAGATATGAAGCTATTGAAATATGGATGTTAACAACTGTACTTTAAGACATTATTGCATTAATAACAAGCATTTGAAAATGTGAGTTAGTATAATGTTATGGGCAAAGGACGTAACATATCATATTATGTTAAATGACAGTTATGTGGATAAATACCTGCCCAAATTATTATGACTATAACAATATATTTGTTCTTGTGTTTTTGGCACATATCTATCTTCATAACTTGAGGAAAGATGTCAGATGTGCAGAAAATATGCAGGAAAGATGCAGGAAATGTGCAGAAAATGCAGGAAAAGGTGTGTCAGATATGCAGGTTAGGATGAGGTTTCTGTTAGTCTTCCAGGTACAGTTTGCTCTTCATTGACATCCTCCTGTAGGGTCATACATCCTCCTGCAAGGTCATGCATCCTCCTGTCGGGTCATGCAGGGTCATACTACGGGACAGACAGTATTGTACTGTAGTAGAGGTCTTAGTGATGGATAGAGCAGGGGGAGAGAGAGAGAGAGAGCGAGAGGGAGAGAGAAAAGAGACATTTGTCAAACGGTGCAAATGGATTTTTTTTCCCCTCCTTCATAATAGCTAGCGACCTCGTGGCCAAAAATACGCTACTGTTTCTGGTCTTGTCCCTCTACTTGAGAGTGATAGGCAGAATTAGAAAGAATGCTAAAATATCCCCTCTCTCACATATTTCTCTCTCTCCGTCTCTACTGTCCATGTTGTGATAGAAGGAAGCTGTTACTCCTGCTGTATCCTGTAGCACCATGATACTATTCCCCCGTGCACATATGACGTGTACAGTGGGGGAAAACAAGTATTTAGTCAGCCACCAGTTGTGCAAGTTCTCCCACTTAAAAAGATGAGAGAGGCCTGTAATTTTCATCATAGGTACACGTCAACTATGACAGACAAAATGAGAAGAAAACCCCCCAGAAAATCACATTGTAGGATTTTTAATGAATTTATTTGCAAATTATGGTGGAAAATAAAATAACTAAATACTTTTTGTCCCCACTGTATAACACGCCCGTGTCCATGCTATATCAACGTACTATGGATGTTAATAACAAAGTGCTCATGTGATCATACCTCAAATGTCTCACTTGTCTTTTGTTTCCTTTCACAAAACGTCTTCATTTATACAGATGACTTGTGGCCCTCATACGTGTAGGTGTCTCTTTCTTGCCACGAGATGGGGGCCATTGTTCCACATTCCTCATTTGGATACAACTGGTACAAGGGATTTACTGACCCGTGGTTTTTGGAATTTCACATGCGAATTGGGCTGGAAACTTCTGTGGGACTTGGTTTTACATAACTGTTGATGCATTTGAAAGATGTAGCGTAATGAACTGGAAGGAAAGTGGTAGAAAACACTATCCACACCATTTTACTTGGTTGCACTTCTCTTCTTTAAACTCCACTGCAATTCTTTGGCTCGTCAAATGTATTACTTTTTCATTTATCCAGGTAGTCTCATTAACCACGTTTCCATCCACAGTTTTTATGTGTAACCCTCTCACCAGGCTCGAATTTGACTCTCACAATATTACCTTATTTAGAATATCTGAACAGCATGGGATATTAGGTGAGAAGGACATCTCCAATAAGAATCCCTATTGTAAACTTGCTAGGGTGAATGACAAATAGGGTATTAACTTCAGATAGAATGATTATAGACTTGGTTATTGTTATAAGGATATGCTTTCCCATGCATTAAATGAAACTGAAACAGTAAATGACTCCACCAATACAACAGACATAAGGTTCAAGATCTATATTAATCAAATGTTCAATGTATCATATCAAAAGAAATAAAAATAATAAACCCCAATGATTTTTCCACAACCCATGTCCAAATTATTTGCAAGCTTGCTTAAACCCTGGGCGCGCGTTGGAGTTCATAAAAAAATGACGACATACATAAAGTCCCGAAGTCCACCCCACATTTGTAGTTACTCACTACTGAGTGGCGCAGTGGTCTAAGGCACTGCATCGCAGTGCTAACTGTGCCACTAGAGATCCTGGTTCGAATCCAGGCTCTGTCGCAGCCGGCCGTGACCGGGAGACTCATGGGCGGCGCACAATTGGCCCAGCGTCGTCCAGGGTAGGGGAGGGAATGGCCGGCAGGGATGTAGCTCAGTTGATAGAGCATGG